AACCAGTGTTGGGCATTTATCATAACGTGATCATATGTAAGATTTAGATTTTTAATTATCTTAATTAAACATTAAAAATTTAATCAATTAATTAAATACCGTACTAAATAACAGTACTAAATAACTAAATACCTTATATAAAACATATATGTACTTAATTGCATTAATTGATTACATTTATCATGATTATTTATATTATAGCTTTTTAGGCAATTATTTTAATAAGAAATTTAATCGATTAATTTTCTTATTAAAATTAAAATAATTGCCTAAAAATTTATAATTAAATACTCAAAATTTTATAATATAAATGATTAATGTAAATAATGCAATTAAGTATTAAACAATATTTATAATTACTCGATTTGTGTGTGAATGTTTAACTAAGATAATTGATTAAAAATCTTATTCTCATATATAATCACATTATAATTAATATCAAATACTATATGAGATGATGATCGCATTAATTGAAGTATATAAATTTTAGTTTGATACTAATTTTTTTTCTGTGTACAAACAAATGCATCATACATCAATAAAATAAAAAATGTAATAGACTAGCATATTTTGTGAAATCTTTTACATCATAATAGAGGTAATTATTTTGTTAAAGTAAAATAGGTTATGTGTCAAAAACATGAAAATAGGATTAAGTAATTCTTCGGATCGTACAGAATTCAACTAGAGAATGATGCAACAAACAGTGAGACAAAGAAATGAAAAAGTAAGGTTACTAATAACATGAAATGAAAACATTATGACTTACCTTTGAATGCTTGCACAACTTGATTACTCAAACCCCAACGTCTCAGCCGCTCGGAAACAGCATCTTGTTCGGCTTGTTTCTCTTCACCACTCATTTTACTGATCACAGTTGTGGAAACGAAAGGAAAACGAGCGCACATTAGAAGTTTGCCGTTACGACAAGCCGAAACATGTGCTATCGCTGCGCACTTTCGTCCGCGCATTTCATTTGCTGCAGCACAAATTCGAATATTTTAATTTGTTGGTGGTGCAAAAAGCATTAGCAATAAGAACTATTATCGACATATTTGTTGAATTTACTAACTGTGTCAGTACCTATGTCAAACAATTTTGTAATCAGAACAAAGAGGGATGAGCAAATGAAATTTGTTGCACAGACGATATGTGATATGTTAAAATGACAAAAAAACGGATCATTGTTTGTAATGGTAGCGAATTTATCGTATCCTGAACAAATCATAAGTCAACAAATGAAAATTTGTAATTCTTACAAAAGTATTTCTCTCAGTGAGGGTGTAAAATAAAAAAGAAGAAAATTTAGAGGTGAGCTGATTTAACACTACAAATTTTTCGATTTTTATTGCAAATAAAATTCAAGCATGAAGATATAAAATATATTTTATCAAATTTTCTAATTAATTCGCTAATTTTTAATTTTGACTTTTGCAGTTCAAACAGGTGGTGGTAGAGAAGAAGAGCCGGAGGAAACTCGGTCGGGTGTGGAATCGACTGGCGAAACCGACGACTTCGAAACAGCGCCGCAGGAAGAGGAAAGAACGGAGGAGAAAACGAGGCGAGCGGAGGATATCGATGCAGCATCGGCGGCGGAAA